CTCCTAGTAGTGATGCCAGGAGCCCCTAGTAGCTTCTTGCTCCTAGTAGTAGGGCCAGGAGTCCCTAGTAGCGTCCTTGCTTCTAGTAGTGATGCCCAGCCCCTAGTAGCTTCTTGCTCCTAGTAGTAAGGCCAGGAGTCCCTAGTAGCGTCCTTGCTCCTAGTAGTGATGCGAGGAGCCCCTAGTAGCTTCTTGCTCCTAGTAGTAGCAGCGTCTTTGTTCCTAGTAGTGATGCCAGGAGCCCCTAGAAGCTTCTTGCTCCTATTAGCGATGCCAGGAGACCCTAGTAGCGTCTTTGCTCCTAGTAGTGATGCCAGGGGCTCCTAGTAGCTTCTTGCTCCTAGTAGTAAGGTCAGGAGTCCCTTAGTAGCGTCCTTGCCCCTAGTAGTGATGCCAGGAGCCCCTAGCAGCTTCTTGCTCCCAGTAGTAAGGCCAGGAGTCCCTAGTAGTAATTACAATCATTGTGATGATGTTGAAATCATTGCCTCTCGTGAAGTTGAACACTTGGATCGTAGTTGTTGTTGCCAAGTAGCCCTTTGCCGCGACGTGGGAAGGGTTGAATCTAATTGAATTCATACCAAATTCTCGAACACACGGACAAGAGGACACGCTTATATTCTACACATTGAGATTCCACAAGACCAATTTCATTCATCCAACACTGAACGGTGAAATATGCAATGTTTGACATTGACAGTCCTCAAATACTCTCGGACACCCACGAATGAGAGGGCAATAAATTCCTCACGACATAATGTATTTCAATACCAATTGCCATGAAGCACTCGCAGTCACGGGTTTGTTGGACAACCGCAGCTTATGCAAGCACATTCACAACAACCACAATTGCATGGGCCTGACTGGGTTCTGCGTATTCCATGGCGGTGAAGCCTTTGCCATCCGTACCGGTGACCATCCCCCATGGCGCCTGAGGACACTGACCCAGCTGTAGGTGTGAATGCGCATTGGCAATTTTGGAACATCGTAGAATCAATGCTGAGTCAGACACACTGTGAGGTAGAGTCTGAAAAAAATATTGAAACCCAGCATGCTTGGAAGCACACGCCTCGAAGGTTGGAAGTAAGAATGATTTTGAGGACAGTGAGTCCAAAGAGACCATCTGGGTTTGGGGCCTTGGAGCAACCAGACACACTATTAGAAACAAAGGAAAGACAAAAAGGAAGAAAGGTCGGGCATGGTTATACAGTTATACAGCGATACTATGCGATACTCAATTCCGATTTGGACGAAACCGCTCCTTTGAGGTGGTATCGGGGAAGTTAGGACTCTGTCTTTTAAGCCCCAGTGGCGGTGTTTGTTTGTCAGGAATATGAGTGGGCCTTTGGGCAAACCAACAGGTATATAGAGACCTATTCAACTTTTAGTTCTTAACACGGACACAGCCAGTCAGAAATTGAAACAAACACAAGATGTGATTCAGTCAGGGCCCATCAGAAACTGAGGTCCGGCCGAAAACTCTGGCAGCAGCCGTTGCTGTAGTGCTCCCGTTGATCCTTTGGCCGAACCGGCCCTAGAGATTCTTTATGTTATGTGAGCATAACGGTGAACCGAGCTTCATTCCAAGGAGGTTGGAATGGCTATACCTCGTCAGTGCCTCAAAGGGTCATAGGACTCGGATGGTTTTTGTTCGGTTTATCACTAAAGATTCAGGCTTTGGCATTGATTCTTCTCTTCCTGGAGTCGGCCTGTGTGAAGAAGGAGAACTTCTACGATCAACTCTTGAGTTGTCGGTCGACTTTGTTGGCACATCGGTGAGGTTTCCGCATTAGCACGTTGCGCTTGCAGCTTGCACGATGTCCCACTGTTTCGCAAGGAAGCTGAGTGCAAAGAGCTTGAGGCAGACGTTTTGGGATTACATTCACAATTTTCAGCTTGATTCACTTTACATTCACTGTCAGACAGTATTGTCAGGGATACAGAGAAAAATTGGAGGAAAGTGCAAAGGAAGTGGAGGAGGAGATGGTACGTTGCTTCTATGTGTTGATATTGCGGATTCAACAGAAGCCACGACACGGACGTTCAAGATTGCTTGCCAGGAGTGTGCCAGTCTCTACAAGCAGATTCAGGAGCCTGGGACAAACCACTGCATGCAGAATGGGGAAAAACATGATTTGAAGCTGAAGATTCAGGAAGCCGATTGCAACCTGATCCGTGCAACCCACCGGTGGCGGAGGCTGTGCCAAATTCAGCATTTCCTGTTCTGAAACCAGACACCGGGATTTGGGACCTTTCTGTGATGGAACAAGCCGGCGTGACTTGTACAGGATAGCGGGTGAATCTGTCCACGCTTCCAGCTTTGTCCGCCCGACAGTTCCGATGTTTCAAGTGACGCTGTTTGCAACGGTCGATACAAGCTATTAGAAACAATGTTCGCTATTAGGAACAAGTGCCTCGCTAGTAGTAACAGGTGCCTTACTAGAAGTAACAATGTTTGCTATTAGAAACAACAAACACACATGACATGAAAAAATGGAATGAAATGGATGTGATTGGCAGGGCCCAGAGGCAACTCAAGCAACACAGGCACGTGGGTTTGCAAACGCCATCAGGAAGATTGCATACTGCATTTGCATGTGCCTCAATCTTCGTAATTATTGGAACAGGTCGGCCGAAATCACCACCTTCAACAGCTTCAGCGGACTGCGAAGGTGATGGTGGGCATGGCCCAAAGCAGATATCAAAAGGATGTGAGAGGTGTCAAGTTGGTGCGAAGCAGGTGCAGGCTCAGCGTAGACCTTCGAAACTGTTCTCTGAGACTTATTGGCAGGTTCTGCTGCTTTGTTTCCAATGGAGTTCTAGTCCAGATCCTTGGCGTTGGGAAGCCCAGTCGAGGGGATCCTGTCGAACTTGGAGTCTGTTAGGGAGCCACTTCGTTCTTGACGAGGTTCTGTGTGCAAGACTCCAGACAGGCACCAGACCTACTTGACATTTCAAGAGCTCAAGCAGATTGTTTTTGGATTCTCAAGTGCTTAAATTCTTTGTGAAAAAAAGCAGACAAACTTCAGATACGAAACTGTGAAAAAGTGAAACTTCAGACAAAGGCGACAATCCTCGGCATCAGCATCTTCACCGGCCCAGGAGTGGAATCTGTGTGAGAGATTTGTTGTGAGTGGAATCGGCATTCTCAAAACAGATGACACTTAGTTGATGATCCACTTAGTTGATGACCTCCTTGATGCACTTTATTGCTGTATGTCCCCAAGCCGAGTGCTTTTTCCTCGTCACGCTGCTTTTTCAATGTCACGCAAGCAGTACAGTTTCGCAAGCTTGTCGTCTATGAACATGAGTTTTCATCACAAGGTTGTTGATTTCCTGCAGTTTTATCACTTCTCACCATGCGCAGGCTAAGAGCTGGATCGATTCTTTACTATATATAACTGGCCAAAGCACATTGCCGTAATAGGTATTGTCATCAACTGATCAGTTTCGAGAGAATGCCCAGTCCCAACAAGAGAAAGTGCTTCGTCTCTTGTTTTGAGATTTCCAATTGTGTTCACCTTGCTCAGTGCACAACAGATGATCTAACTCAATCAGCTTTGTGTTTAATTTCGCCGAGCTCATGGGTATGGTTCAGTTGTATTGAGCAATCCTCTGTTGTATATTTGGTTTTCGATGTTTTCTAAACTTTGCTTTGTTGGATTTGTTCACTTGTGATCAGTTGTGCAGATATTGCAGGGCCAAGGTTACTATTTATTTGTTCCCCAGGCTCTTGAAACATAATATGTTTTTAGCAGTGTTCTTGCTGTTTCCAATTGGTTGAAACGTTTCGAATACCCCATGGCCCATGACTCATGTCTTGTTTCATGGTGCACGTATAGTGTTTTCCGTGCATCAAACCATGTAAATAGATGACCTTTCAACACACCACACACGCAGTTGCTTACAATCTCATAGACTTCTCTTTCCGGAGTATGTCAAGTGTTACAGGGTTTTACCACTTACAATATCATTCGGTCAACTAAGCCATCAACTTCAATCGGCGCTTCTTGAGCTCCACTATACATCGAACATACAACGCCCTTCTACACTGCCTGCATTGCTCTCCTCTTCGTGTTGGGGCAGTTCTTGACAAACTTCAGGCACAGAATCATGGTTGACTTGCCATGCAGAGAACTCTATGATTGCTACTGTCCACTGAAGCTCAGAAAGCTATTGGGTTGGAGGCCATCGCTCTTAGGTTGGAGGCCATCGCTAGTAGGTTGGAGGCCATTTCAAGTAGGTTGGAGGCTATCGCTATTGGGTTGTCCACTGAAACTCAGAATACAGTAAACGCACTGAGCGACTCTATGACCTGGCCAGCGTGCCAGCGCCTGCATCCTTCTGCAGATCATATTTGTAGAATGCGTTGTTCCTGGTACTGTCAAAAAGCTCCTACTAGCAATGGCCTCGAACCTAATAGCGATGGCCTCCAACCTAATAGTGCCCTTGTCACATTCATGTCATGTGATCGCATAGTTTGAGCACGATATGACGGTTACAGTCACGGCTTCGTGAAATCACTGAGCGAGGTTTGCATTCTGGTCACGCTTGATTTGTCGATTGGCAGTGAAAATAAATTGATGCCGGTGTAGTAGTGTCCCGATCATGGCCTTAGTTGACAGATGGGCACTGTGGCTGATGATGTCCCTGACGTTCACTGTGAGCATGACAATCGCAATGCCAGGTGATTTTGTCTTTGGTTTGGTGCAGTTGGTTGTGCGAATCGAGCTGCTAGAGATGGTGCCCCAGAAGTTTGGTTTGCTATCGCATTCATATCCAATCATATCGACTCATCGAAGTCATGAATCATGAATACGATCTCTGGCATGGAGCTGCTGAGCTGTGCTGCTGTTGTTGCAGGGATGGTTCCAAAGACGGTGTTTTGAGCACGTCCTTGTCCACTACTAGTAACAAGAAGCTACTAGTAACAAGAAGCTACTAGTAACACTGGCATCGCTACTAGTAACAAGTGCATTACTACTAGTAACAAGAAGCCGATGTGCTTCGAAGCTGCATAGTTGGACGGCTTTTTTGCTGACCTTTGGCAGCGGTGAAACTTGGATTTCAAGTGACAGTGAGCAAACAAAGCCAGTCGTCCATTGGATACGCTTGTTCGATCGATCAAATACTGATTTTCCTTCAACAAAGCACATGAACTGCTCAAAGGATTGAAACCAAACTGGTGAAACATTTGAGGATCAAATCATTTCAGTCATATATCAACTATATATATATATATTATACAGAGATATTTGAGGCATTCTAGTATTGCCAATTGGGACCCAAATGGATGCAGCACGCTGGTTTCAGACAAAAGTGTCCACCACTGTATCCGCCCCTCGATGTGTAGGCCAAAAGCATCTTCGAGACCTTACTGTCTGAGCACGAGAAGCATGACATGAAAGAGACACTGTGAGAACAGTCAAAAAGAGCTGTCGCAGCCGCCCACATCCTGCCGTAAAGATAAGCAGATTGAGTGCGTGATCTAGGAGCGAAGGGAGCATTTTGGGCTCAAGGACAAGTAGCTGGAGAGAGGATGAGTTCCGCTCATGGAAGCAGCGCTGCATTCCACAGTTCGCCTTTCTTTCCTCGCCTTGAAAGAGCACAGACTGTGCCGCTGAGGTCTGTCGATGGCCCGTCACCTACATCTCCAGTGAACATCTCTCCTATTCAGGTGAGCCACTGGCAAGCGGTTGGCCACAACCTCGCGACGGTCTTTCAACAGGTACCCATGAGCCCAACCAGCCCATGGACACCAAGCCCACTGGTTGGTCACAAAATCTATGTAAGCTCAGCTGCGCCGACCACTCCGACACCCTCGTCGCCCATTTCGCCCATTCTGGTCGAGCAATGGCAGACGGTTGGACAACGCCTTGCGGCAGTCTTTCAAAATCAGAGCCCACAAAGCTCCTGGGCTAGTCCCACAACATCCCCAGTGGCGTCCCGCCCCAAACAGTGATTTCGGCTTGAAGGCCATCACAAAGGAGTTGCGATTGCATGCAATCCTTTGTTTTTCCTCAGCTACGATCTGATATCAAGATAAGATGTGTCCGACTTGTGTCTTGCAGTGATCTTTGCGCGCAACGCCGCGCTCGGGTAGCCAGGACAGCTTGCCGTGCAGCTCAGCTGCAGCCACCAATGTACAGGAGATGACTTTCGCAAAAGCGAAAAGCCACCCTTGGTGCATGGCAGAAATACTTAATTATTGATCCTAACATATTTACCAGCTGCTGACGATGCAAAATAAAAGGGAGCAGGGCAGAGGTTTTGGCCCATGGGCAACTTTGGTTCGTTTGGATTTGCATGTCCGGTTTCATCACCTTTCACTGGCAGAGCTTCTTCCTACTACAACATTTAAGGCTTAGGTCTCGGACCAAATTACCTCTGTATAGCTAAGTAGTGGCAGGAACATTGTCATAGAGGCCACTCTTACCGTTGTTCCGAACATCCCGCCTGATCATTTGTATTCTCAGCCGTTTTGCCTGGGGTGCCGGGACTCCCGGAATCGCGATTAGCGCACAGCACTTAGTATACGTTACAAACCCAGACTGTTGCATGTTTGAAAGCTTTAGATTGGAAAGAAATGGAAAGAACACATGTTGAACGTGTGAAGGCTTTTTGCTTCTTGGTCGAATTGTACTTACTATATGCATTCACCTTTGTGCAGGCAATGTCTTCGCTTTCGACTATGTTGGAAGCCATCTTAGAATCGCTGAAGAAGTGCCCTTTTGAACAACTGGACTCCGTGCATCCTTCACCTTCTAAGGCTGTAGAGACTCAACTCAACATTTGCATCTTCCGTGGTGTCATGAAGGCGGCCTGAAAGACTTGGGTCGGCGTTGGTTGGCACTGCTTGAAGCCAAAAAGAGCGTTGAAGTCTTATTGTGCTTACCTGAAGGCTCATGCTGACCTGAGAAGAACCAGAAGAAGAGACGGAGCAAGAAGAGGAGGCCGAGCAGATACGGGTGAATTCTGCTATGGCAAACTATCAGTAGCAGTGATCATTGTCAGTGAGCATGACGCTTCAGGCAGATGAGGCTTCTGCAGATGCAATTTCGAGAGCAAATGCAGAGAATGCAGCGACCAGAAACGCTCTCAGTTTGTTGAGCTTAGTTAACGACCGCATGTGGCAGTTTGCAGCTACTTTGAGAATGGACTTGACAAACCCTGGCTACTACAAACAGTGGGAAAGTGCATCTTTTTGGTCTTTCGTGTTGTTTCTCTTTTTCTTTGGACCATCAGACCTTTCTTTTTGTTTCCTATTGTTAATTGCTTATTTGAGTTTAGACCGTTCTTTATCCTTTATTCCAGTTTCTCCTTTTGATGTGACCTTAGTGTCCAGTACGATGACTATGACTAAGGGACTAAACCAATGTATATACCTTGTGCTGCGGGACCCAGGAGAACTCCGGGAGAGCTGGTGCCGTACAGTTTTGCACTTAGCTCCTGCAAGATTCATGCGAACAAACCTTTCAAGTCTCCAGTCTTGCCCAAAGCATTCTGTCAAAGGTCCTTGGGTTTTTATGTTAAGGCCTAGCACCGCCATGCAACGCACCAGTCTGGTGTTTGCTGTGAAGAGGGGGGATCTCAAAAAAGGATATCCTCAAGAAGAGGAGCTTCACAAGGAGTGATGCTTTGCAAAAGTTGCAGGATGCCCTACAACAATTTTCCAAGGAGGATCGATACAAGGCATTGCATGCTTTGCCGCAAGCTGTGAAGACGGCGCTTTTGGTCCATATGGAACATGTCAAGACAGGCGGAGTTTCAGGCACTAGAAGCTTGACTTCTCAAGCTCCAGGTGATTCAGGTGTGTCTTTATCTCCCAAGAGAAAGACTCTGTGCAGACGAGCTGTGAGTGTGCACCGCAAGAGGGGAGGATGGGTCGCCAGGTTGAATGTCCTCCCTTACTTGTCAGTTGCCACTCGATGTACTCAAACTCCAGAGCAGGCGACTGCCATGCTGAAAGTCTTGCAGAGGGCGAAAGAATTAGCATTGCAAGCTGCGACCTGCGAAGCGGATGCAGTTTACGAAGCATTGAGGGCTGCATGCAGAGAGCACCGAATGGCATTGTCAGATCTAGCACTTTCATTTTGTGCGTCTGTCGGAGCTGAAAGTTTGGTGGGCTGCAGCATCAGTGGCAAATATAGCACCAGCTTGGAAGATGTCTTGGTACAAAGGCATTTGTTGCTGGAAGGCCGTACGCAGGGATGGCCACAGCTTCGGAAAGCCTGCTTGAAAGTCATGCAAGCCTCTGTGCAGCCTCGATCTGGGGTCTTTGGTCGGGCCTGCCCCAAAGCCATGGCAGAGGCCGAAGCCGAGCGTTTGGCCCAAGTTCTGGATGACAAACGAAGAGCGCTGTGTCAGAAGCGCTTGGAGAAGGCTTTCAGAGATGCAGTGAAGCTAGTTGAGCTCGTGCTGCGGAAGCAAGAGCAGCAAGTGTCGCGAAAGCGTTCCTTTGTGGTTGCAAAGTCGTCAACGCCAGTCGCCTTCTAGCACCCCAGAGGATCAGTCAATAGCAACAGGACAGACTTTCGATGTAGCTGCTTGCTTTTATTGAAGAAAACAGCTAGGCACTAATAGCACTGCAGCGATTCTGGTGAATAGGGAGACCCTTGAAGAGCTGTGAAATGAGTGGATTCACAGGACATCACAAGAGAAGCTGCCCTGAAATGGTATGAGTCCAGCACAGAGGAACTGACTTTGCATCTCCATTTGGGCCGCTCGATTCTAGAACGATCGAAACCAGACCCTCATGACGAAATATAGAAAAGTTATGACATGATGAACAGATACATGCGTGTGTGGAATGCATTTAAGACAAAAGTACCTGCAAGCAAGCTTGACTTTTACCACAGATGCGGCATTAAACTGTGACACCTCCCTTTGCACTTTTTTGGCTCAAAGCTGCTTTTCAAATCAAAGGCTTGAAACGATTGGACACTTTGGAAGGTTTGCTCACATGTTCGAATCCTTCTGTTGCTTAAGACACCTGAATTAGGACTTCTGAGGTCAACGGACACTTATACTGGTGAAAACGCAATCCAGCCATTTACACTAGTTTGATTTAAAAAGACCCTGAACAACAGAGCTTGATCCAAAGTGACTGAGACTTTGTCCTCTGCAACAAAGCGACGGAGGGAACAGCTACTTTGCCATGGCGGATGTGACGACTGCAGCGGAGCCAGCTGTACAGGCGCCAGCGCAGGCACCAGCACAGGCAGCCCCAGCTGCGGCACCTGCGCAAGGCAAAGAGCTGAAAGCTGCCACTGGACATCGTCTTGACCGCCAAACAGAAAGGATTGTTTAAAGGCCGCTCTGCCTCCCTACCTATATAATAGCGATGGCCTCCAACCTAATAGCGATGGCCTCCAACCTAATAGCGATGGCCTCCATCCTACTAGCGATGGAGAAATTTGTTCTGCCCATTTCTAGCCATCCTTCTTTCTGGATCTTCAAGAATTGATTGTACGCAACGTTGGTCAGAACTGCCTCCGGGCCTTTCCTGTGAAAAGCCGGTTCCACACCAGAGCTAATTAGTTTTGTGCGATTCTTTCGATTGCAGAAACATGGGAACATTTCTTCCTGACATTGGGAGGTACAGCTGCAGCACCAGTTGGCTGGAATCTTAGCAGTTTCTAATGTAGATTTGAACATGGAGCTCAACCTTCGCGCATGGTATTGAGTGTTTCATTTTGCAGACTTGTGCAAAGGAATAAGGAGCTCACGTTTCATAGGCTCATTGTTGCTGTTTGCTCGGATACCCTGCAGCACAGGTATTCCACGGGTGTCATAGACAAAGGAGCAATTGTCAATAGACAACTCCCGTTTCTCTTTTTGTGAAGGTCAAAGCCAAATTGCACCGGGTTATCCATCTCAATATGGACAACCTCCAGGTTATGGAGGATATGGCGGCTGTGGTTATGGCGGATACCAACCAGGAATGCCTGGACAACCCATGCCTGGGATGCCAGGACAACCTGGGCAGATGCAACCTATACCGCCTCAAGATATGCGTCCTCAGTTGAATTTCCGCACCGTGGTGCGCTGTTTCATGGAGATTGCTGCCATCATCCAGGGCTTTTCGCTGATTCTAATGATGGGAAATGGTTGGCTTCAAGAAATGGGCTCCAATGAAGAACAGCCAATGAGGCGCTTTGCTGTATGGCTTGGAAGCTCGGTACGTGGAGCTGTGTCTTCGTTGATTCCCTTGGCTGCCTTTCGAAAACGCCATAGGTCACTGGAGGAGATTTGGGATACACAACCAGCCCCACCACGTCCCACCAGATGGTGGGTAGTGCTTGGGATGGCCTACTTTGCTGCATCCTTTTTGCAGGAATGGAACTCCTACAGAAGAATTCGGCAAACAGTGCAAAGAACTCCACCGTCAGGTGAAGGTAGTCGAGGAAGTGCCAGTGCAAGTAACCTTTTGGACTTCTACATGCAGAAGCAGCAAGAACTTCATAGACAGAAGACCAGACAAGGAGGGGTTTGGATATTTTTTGGAAAAGCGTACATGCCTTTTTGGTTGTTTTTCCTCTTACATCATGAGTTTGAGAGACTAGAAGGCGCCTCAGATCCACCAGGCAAGGGCTGTTGCTGTTTTGGTACATACTCACAAGATCTCACAAGAAGCTATTAAAAATTGGTTCCCTCCAGGTTCAGAAGCTGTTCTGAGCTTACTTGACTTCTTGGCTTCTTCTCTCCGTCCCACAAAAACGAACGACCCTGCCGTGACTGGTCAATGCTTGCCTACCGAGGTGAAAGCACCAACTGGGCCAGTGTAGAAAAAGGCCGTGGGAACTTCAAGAGCTTCGGAAAGCCTGTGGAAAGCCTTTCGACAGCTTTGGACTTTGGACCGCCTTACGACACTTTATGCAAGCTAGGCTCAAACAACATCAGGTCTAGGTTGTGTGGATTCACACATGACTGCACAAACAACCCCCTTACAGTGCGGTTGACTACAGAATCTTCACCCTTTGGATAGCAACCTCATTAAAGATGCGCCATAACACCAGCATAAATGCCCAGTTGCTTCTTAACTGACTGTTGTGGCGACAAGCTTGCCATGCTCTGAAGGTGCGCAAAACTCCGGCCGGAACACTGTTGGGGGGGGCTTCGTAGCGCGCAGGGTGCATAGGCTCACGACCATTTTGTTCGGAGAATGCATGTTGACGCTTGGTGCAAAAGTATGAGTAGCCTTTTGATGTTACATCATAGCCTTCTGAGCTTCCAGTGAATTGCTATGATCTGATTCAGGCACATTGTGGAGGACGAAGAGGCTCTGAACGATGGAGGCTCACCATCTTGAGCACGTGCGTACTGTCATGTAGCGCGCTTTGCAAGCTGTGATTCACTCTGATGTGTCAGGGATATGGAGGGGGTGTAGTCAGCGTCCCAGTGTGGCTAGTATCCAGTGGCACGTTAGAACATTTGGATATCTCAGCCAGTGCATGGCTGTGTTCTTAATTAAGAGAACTGTCAAAGATGGCCTAGGAGAAAGTCGTGGTAAGGAAGCCCGACACGCCAAGCTGCCACTGTTCCTGGAACTAACACCTCAAAGCTTCACACAGCACCACGACTTGACATATTTTGTGCCAGGCATGCAAGAGCACTCCTGTCATGTCATTTGGGCCACTGTACATGGCTCTCTCTGCTTGTGTGCTGTGTTTGTCTTGATGGCCCGTGCAGAGGTTTTCGTCTTGCAAACAATAAGCTACTAGTAACAAGTGCCTTACTATTAGTAACAAAAAGCTATTAATTTAACATTAACTTGATTCTAATAGCTTTTTGTTGCTACTAGTAAGGCACTTGTTACTACTAGCGTGGCACTTGTTTGTCTTGATGGCCCGTGCAGAGGTTTGTCTCCCTTGCAGCTGTTCATCTCAATGTAGCGCCATCCACTGCGCAGCGTGCGCCTGCGCATCGATGGGTCTCCGCAGCTGCGCCTTGCTCTTTGGGCTCTTTGTGCATTTGCAGGTTGCCAGCAGTGCAAAGGTCGGGGTGGAGTAGAAGTAGCCACAACGGAGTCATTGAAATCATTTTGCTATTAGGTTGGAGACCATCGCTATTAGGTTGGAGACCATCGCTATTAGGTTGGAGAGCATCGCTATTAGGTCGGAGACCATCGCTATTAGGTTGGAGGCCATCGCTATTAGGTTGGAGACCATCGCTATTAGGTTGGAGACCTTCGCTATTAGGTTGGAGACCATCGCTATTAGGTTGGAGAGCATCGCTATTAGGTTGGAGGCCATGCTATTAGGTTGGAGACCATCGCGATTAGGTTGGAGACCATCGGTATACAGGTTGGAGACCATCGCTATTAGGCTGGAGACCATCGCTATTAGGTT